TATTTTCATTCCTCCCTTGACGGATTGGTATTTTAACTGTAAACTGTTGCGACCGGGCCTCCCTCCCAGGGTCTAGGTTCCCTGCTCCTTCTGGAAGGAAATTTATATAGAGTTAGGTAACCAGCCATGACGTATTTTAATCGGCATGCAAAATAACTCGGTTTATTTAAAATTTCTATGACAAGGAACACCATTACAGCCAGTCTCTCGGAAACGAAGAGGAACAAGTTGGAGAGTTTTAGCACTGCGATCAAATTTTTTATTGCTACATTCCTGATGAGAAAAACTCTTGCATGTTTTTCCATCTCTCGAAGGTTGGATAGAGGTTCTTCACGAACATTTGGGTGGGTTCTTTTTTAGACCTAAATATGCTATTTTCCTTACTCTACCCAAAAATCGATACACTTTTTAAGACAAGACCCTACCCAAGAGGTGCCTCGGGTTCAAACAAAATGCAATTTTCAAGAGATGAATTACAATAATAAGAAGTTAAAAATAGGTTCTTCGGAGTGCGCAAACTATGTTCAGACTAAAATAAAAAACTATACCCCTTGGCGCTCGATAACCATATAGTCTACACAGGGGGTACCCGTTGGTGATATCTCTCCTGGGAAAAGAGAGTGAGAGCTGATTGCAGCGGTTGCAGCTGAATTTGGGACAAAGAAAAGTTGAAGGGGATCGAGCTAGACCAAACCGCAAGCGGAAACAGCGATCACGAGGACGCTAAAATATTTTCACCGTAAATCCGGTTTAACGACACGTTGACTTAAAGTAATTTTAAAACAGCATTCAATTGAATCTACTACTGCGAACCGACATCTGGGCCATGCAAACTCCTTGGATATGGTATCAGCTGTTCCTAGCTTCACAGTACGTCCTGCAAGGTACATTATACGGACTTCAACTGAGATATCTACCGATAATTCTCCGTAAATCCGGCTCTTCGCTGGTAATGGTTGGATCTCTGAATCTTCTGACGTTTCCTTGGCTTCTCAAGTCTTTCTGGGCGCCGATCCTGGATATCTACGGCAACAAAAACGCTTGGCTGTCGCTAAGTTACGCTGGGATTGGTCTTGCTCTGTTACTAGCTAAAGCTGACAATGGAGCTATCTTCATTTCCTCACTTGTGTTACTCAATCTATTTTCCGCGACGATTGATTTAACCCTTGGGAAAATCCTCATTACAAACTTTCATGGAGACGAATTGTCCAAAGCAAGCTCGCTTCAGATCATCGGTTACAAAATTGGCTTTTTGATTGGCGGTGGTATAACGCTGTTGATCGCAGATATATTTTCTTTGAGCAAGGAAATATTTATTTTCCTCGCCTTGTTATATTTCGTGTTATCATTGTTTTATGTTACGCAACGCCCCGTTACACCGGAAACTTGGCCCAAACCGGAAACCTGTCGTTACTCGCTTCCAGGCTGTACGCGGATGAAGGGGTTTGCGTGCACGCCAGGTTTAAAATGGATGATATTTTGCGCGTGTGTGTATAAATTTGCATCACACTCCTCGCAGTCCATATTGACCATGTTCCTGGTCGATAACGGAGAGAGTGTAGGTCGTATCGGTTTCATGTCTGGAATGACTGGGCAGGTCGTTTCTATAGCAGTCGCCTCTGTTTGCGGATTGGTTCTGTCGGCAAAAAGGTATGACAACGGTAAAGAAGCTTCCAACATGACATATATATAAACTACCTGTGTTACGTTCTATGACCTGTTGTATAAACACGATTATTACGTCACGAGAAGACATCCGGGGGAATCTCATCTCGCAGTCCCTCATATCATGGGCCCGTTAGTAGGGACAGTATGACTTCTAATCTTTTTGTCCCTATTAGCGGGCCCATAAGCGATTATGAGACTTGCCCCATATTTTTTTCGCGTTATTTTTTACCTCATCCTTTAAATTAACGGGAACTGGTAACGCCTGCTTTATACTCACAGTGTGAGGAATCACAAAATCCTCGTGTAAACCTTTGCCTGCAGCCGGGCCACGAGTTCGAGCGCGTTTCAATCAATATGGATAGGTGACGAGATCTGATTAGCCTAGAAATTTGTTTTGGCAAATAATGAACTATTGCTCACCCATGATATTTGAACTTNACATATTTATAAACTACCTGTGTTACGTTCTATGTCCTGTTGTATAAACACACGAGAAGACACCTGGGGCAATCTCATCTCGCAGTCCCTCATGGGCCCGTTAGTAGGGACAGTATGACTTCTAATCTTTTTGTCCCTAGTAGCGGGCCCATAAGCGATTACGAGACTTGCCCCATATTTTTTCGCGTTATTTCGTACCTCATCCTTTAAATTAACGGGAACTGGTAACGCCTGCTTTATACTCACAGTGTGAGGAATCACAAAGTCCTCGAGTAAACCTTTGCCTGCAGCCGAGGCACGAGCTCGAGCGCGTTTCAATCAATATGGATAGGTGAAGAGATCTGATTAGCCTAGAAATTTGTTTTGGCAAATAATGAACTATTGCTCACCCATGATATTTGAACTTCATGTGCTTACATGGAATTGCGCTATGGAGGTCTTAATTTAATACTCTGTTGATAATCTTCTGATATGTTGTATTTTGTTTATTTTAAGGATGAGTCCCACAGAGCTCCTACTTTTGACGTCTTTTTTGTCTGTTTGTTCAGTTATCCTTCAGCTTTACGTTGTTTGGTGGAATAATACGTCATTTATAGCCTTTGGTAAGTGTTTTGTCTTCCACATAATAATCCATATCCAACCTCACATTAACTGTTAGTCATCCTCAAGTTTCGAATGGGTTGCGGAGGGTTTCCCACAACTTGATCTAAAACCCAACACAAACGTATCAGGAAGTTCAATTTTGAAAACAATTTTGTCCTTTGCCTCCCCTCCCCTATTCAATTAATGTTGAGCTTCAAGGCAAAACGTTCTAGGTCTTCCAACCATGGCCAAACTACTTTTGTGCTTGATTGAAGTTGTATCGATTCTTGATTAAAAAAAAAAAAGATATTGGTGCGGCTGGTAAATGTTTAATCTTTAAAAATCAACTCACAAGATTTACCGTTTTTTTATGCAGTGTACTTGTTCCATAACGTTGTTCACGGGTCCCAGGCTACTCCGGTTTACACGCTCATGTTGCGCTGCTCCCAGAATGCACCGCCGTCCGTCCGCACAGCCTGTTACTCGTTCCTCGGTACGTTAGAAATCCTTGGTAAACAGCTGTCTTTGTTCATGGCAGGAGTCTTGACAGAGAGCTTTGGTTATGTCGCTGCATTAAATATTTCACTAGTAGTTTCTTTTTTTGTAGTTTTCCTAGTTTGGTATTGCCCTAAACATCTTCGATGAAGTTATAAAATTATAAATTTGGAGAGATACGCATACTAAGTTGTGGCAGAGTCACCAAGTTTGTGAGCTGTGTAATCCCGCAACCAAAACTTTGTCTTCTATTGCACAAGGACGCGTCACGTCACACATCCCAAAACAGTTTAACCCCCTCGCGAAACAGAAAGAACATTGTACTCTGTCTTTGAGTTGCGTGACATAGCAAAACACTTAGGCCTAGTTCACACTAGCGACATAACGGCGCAAACATAACGATGTAGACTAAGAGGGGCGTTATGTCGTTATCTCTGCAGTGTGAAAATCTTGGCATTAACGACATGAGCCATTATGTCGTTATGTCGCTTATGTCATTATGTCGTTAGTGTGACCTAGGCCTTAGACAGGCCCAAGGCCTGAGTAAGCTTCCTAGCCATAAAATCTTCTGGTTTCAGACCATTTTATCTTTGCAAAATCGTTAAGTTTTTAGTGTCCGACTACATTAAGTATAGGTAACTGGATGTAAACAAGCGCTACCTGCTATTCGGTTATTTTTAGAAGTACAGTTACGGTAAAGTACTAAGAAAAAGAAATAGACGCTACGAACAATATAGGTCTCAAAATCAACAGTTTATTCTATGGCATTAACATTTATTTACTTGTTACATAATTTAACTTAAAACTAAACAAATTAAAAAAAAAACTGTCTGTTTACATTAACAAGTACCGCTGCAATTACAATAGCAAGTCACTGATATTATGACTTCGCATTAATTAACCCCTATAGCTCAACCAATCATTTTAATACCTTGACTGTACAATACCTGATTAAGGGATGAGCATAATGAGAATCAAGTCCTTATCGATATACTATATTATTAGCTTAAGGCCAAATTCTCCCAGGGTGAACTATGGAAATGAATGAACTACAGTAATACTCATCTCGACTGCAGAGTTAGGAACTCATGGCACGGTATTGCAACCGCGCACTAGGAAGCAAGTGCACGCGTGCGCGTGCGCGTAATTCTACGCAAGTGACACGTTGCACCATATGACTGAGCCCGCGGTTTTAAGCAAGAGGACCTTATAATGCAAAAGATGACGAAATGTGAGTCTGCACTCTGAATGCACAATGACGACTGGAAACATCTCGGATGAGGATTTTCACGTAAGAAATCCCGCCTACTCCTTGACTTGAAAGCAAGCTTCTTTGAAAAGACCTAGGAATGATGGAACTACACCAAAGACGATCTATTCTTTAAGAAAAAATTACTAACTAAATTATGAAATACCAATATCGCATTCCTTTTAGGGCGCGCTCTTACGCCGGAAATGACCAGTCTCCTTTTTACGGCGAGCAATGCGGCTAGCGGCTTTCTTGATTGATTCATTGTGTTCTCGATGCTGATTGGGTAGCTCGTAGAACGAGTAAGTAAAAGCACTCGAGACCGGAAGTCTATGAATAAAGTTTAAATCCTCCAGTGACACGAGGGGCTTACTTTTCTCTTGGATTGTCCGTTTAGAGAGCAGTTTAGGTTTTTCCCGCGCTTGAGTAGGAGACGTTGTACCAGTCGTTTGAGTTATCTCAGCTTCTACTGGAGGAGCTTCCAGTGCCGGAACTTGATCCACATTTTCAGAATAATTTTGTGAATTTTCTTGTTGTTCCTGGCGGACTCGAGGCAGAAACTCTGTTTGCAAGAACTCTTTTTCTGTTTCTTCTTTCTTTTTCTGCGAAGATTCCTTTACAGAAGCAGGACGAACAACTACAGATCGCTTTATCACAAGTGTTGAGTCACAGGGTGAAGGAATATTAGCATCAATCAAAGAGACACGCGCTTGGCTCAGCCTCTGTTTCGACCCATACGTCATGTTAGTGTCAGCAAATGATGCCGTCGCTTGACCCATGTCGTCAATCACTTTGCTGTGGTAGTACTTCCCAGGCCTCTTGACTCCGTCTCCCTTTTCTTTCAGTTTACTTTGGCGGCGTGCTCTGTTAGGCCTGGCAAAGGATTGACCGTCTTCTAAGTCACAAATACTTTCATCGTTACCAAGGAAACCGTAAGACAACTGGTCCTCTAAATCTGTAAAGCACAAGGCTGTTCAGTACCTTAGCTTAATCGAACTTAGTAAGCGCCCAGTTTATTGAGTAAAATGAACAAAAAGTCGCAGCCCGTGGGGAGTCCTTTAACAGAGGACAGGGGAGAGGCGTTTCTGACCGTTCAGCCAGTCTCTCAATTCACCAGCGCAGTCTCATATAAAAAACAAAAACATACAAACGTACTGTAAATTCTTCAGTAGGAATTATACATTTGCCCATTAAAAGCGTAAATTCTCTCTCATTACGTTATATTTTGGAAACTGGTTTATCTGGAGGATAGAAAAATTCAAACAGCACGCCTGGCAATTGCCATCTCGACGAACTATTTCAAGTACTGAGTCCAAGGGAAGGTAAGTCAGCTCGTTTTTATTTTATGGTTCGTTAACTAAATTTAAGTGTCGAAAAGGAATTGGTTTTGCATTTACTACGTTACACGATTGGCTAAAAAAAGCTCGCGACAATTTTTCATCCAATCAGAAGTAAAACCAAAACCACTCGTGACTCGTTCGCCTCATGTAATATTACTTCGAGTTTTGATTGGTTCACTGGATTGCCTGTGTCTTTTGTGATTGGTTAGGGCGATTACTTTGGTTCCGACGCCAGAAAAGTGGGTTGTTTTAATCTGATCTTACACTCAGAAGCTTAATTCAGTCCAGGAGGCTGAGGTCAAGGGGTTACTGAGTCTAAGTTAATAATAAGCTATATGTATTAAACAGTACTCACTCGAGAAAGACACATCCTTTCGGGCACCAGCACTACCCGCTGTCCTACTGTACTTGCGAAACATGGAGGATTGCGAGTCTGTCACGTGCCCTCCACGTGCCAATTCAGACATGTACGATGCACCCGAATCCGACACACGAGCGCGACTGGAACCCACTCTAGACATGAGCCCCCCTCGCCCCCAGGTTTCTTCATCAGAATCGCCATCGTAGCCAAAAAACGACGAGCTGTTACTGGGTGCGGTCATGGGATGTCGCCCCAGTCTCTGGAAGGGAGTGTCAGGTTGCCCTGATCTGTTTTTCACAGCTTTGTTTATTTGTCGAGAACGTCGACGACTTTGTGACTAGAATAGAAAAAGCTCATAGTTGGTTGTCTTACATAGCATGATTATTAGTTATGTTATGGTTTTCTATGGAACAGGGGGGATTTTTCCGTGTCCATTTTATCTACACGAGGAGGTTTAATACTAGTTCTTTCCAAAAATGATACAAATACCATGCCAATGCTTTGGCACTCTTCCATTCCTCGTTTCCGACTATTTTCCAAAAACTTAACTTGATGAACATGTCCACAGAGAGCGGAAGATTGCTGAGGAAATCTGAAGAATCCCAAGGGAGAACTGAAGATGCTTTAACCGTTATAGATCCCGAATACTATCGGTTATTAGTATCACCCAACTGGTGGACTAATGCAAATCCTGCATTTTGATTGGCTACGCTACTAGGGGACTATTACTAATGGTCCTAGAGTAGCGAAATTGGCGCCATCGAGCGTGACGTTTTCTTTCGTTTTATTCCCAAATAAATATTTCTTCAACTTACATTTGCTAACTTTATTATTTACCTTTTCTGTCCGACTAGTTGGGTGATACTAAAACAATGAGACCCTTCGCCCTCAAGGGCCACGG